AACAATAAAAATTTGAATAATTATTAAATTTTGATTTGAGAGCCTTTTGTCCGTTTAATCTTTTTAATACTACTTCACTTGGGGGAAAAAAAACTAAATATTGTTTTTTATTGCGCCATAACAATAGTAGTTCTATAGTTATAGCAAGAGAGACAAATGTTGCTCCATTGTGAACCTAAAAGTCTTTTTTAATGAAATTATAAGAGAAGTTATTGTCAAGTATTACATTTATAATGTTGCTCCGTTATAAACAAAGAGTTTTTTTTTTTTTTTTTTATGAAATTACAAGTAAATAAAAGTTACAATTATTATCAAACTTATAGTCATTATCAAATATTACATTCATAAATATGAAATTACTAAAAAATTAAACAAACAAACCAACTAACAAAACAGATTCAATATAAAGTTAAGACATATAGTGAAACTCGAACCTAAAACCTTAAGATTTTAAGATCTTTTTTTTACCGTTAAGTCAATGTCTTATTACGTAAATCATTAATAGTTTAATTCAATTAATTTATATAATCAACTTTAAAAAATTACATTAATTAAATTTGGAGTTTAATTCTTAATACAATAACTCCTTTCACTATCCACAATTTTAATTTATTTAAAAAAAATTATTGCTTCACTATGGGGGACACCAATGTTGCTTAAACGAGGGTTAATATATAATCCAATACAAAGTGCAATGCAGTGGTAAAATTGCCTAGAGAACCTTCATAGAAGTTATGGCTTGGTGTCCTTAAACTTTTGGCATATGCAGTGGTAAGATTACCTTGAGATCATTTTTTTTTTTTTTTGAAATTACAAGGAGCCTGGCCTTTATTTGAAAAATAACAATTCGGGTATTTATTCTTTTAATAAAAGCGCATATGGTTTGAATTCAGATCACATGGACCAAAATCAAGACAAAACATCTATTATCTATTACTTACAATAGAAATTGTCCCCTCAGGGACACGTCATGTGGTCTTAAAAAATAATTTAGAAGGTAATTTTGTACTATAAAATAAAGAATCCCAAAGAATTAGAGGATAACAACTGTCTTTTTTTTGTTGTGAAATTACTATTTTAGCTTTTGGTTTGGAGATGAATGACTACTGCTAAGCATCTGAAATTAAGAGACAAGAGAGATAAACATATGGAGAGTGAAGATAAAGAAAAATAAAAGAGAAAGATTTCCTAAAAAGAATTGAGAATAATGGATTAGGAAAAGAAATGAGAAATGTTAGAGAAGGCAAAGGAGAAAAAATAATTTTTACTAATTTTTAAATCAAATGTACTGTTGAAATGTGTTTTGGATTGTTTTTTTTTTTTTTATCCCTTTATTATATTTCATAATATTTATTGTATTCCTTTGATTAAATCTTCATTTATATTTTTTGCATGCATATTATGTTTTTATTTTTTTTATTTAACAAGGTATTTTATGATAGGTAAGTGTTAGATGATCTCTTTCATTTTTTAGTAATATTTTTTTGATTAAAACATGCTAAAATACATTTGGTATTGATTTTTTTATTTTTTAAAGTCACTCAAGTATGATTGTGATTTTTATTTTTTTAAAATTTTATATTTGCTTTTGATTCTTTTGATTATATTTCATATATATTTTTTATCCATATTAATATTTACATTTTCCTTTTTATTAATTTCTTTTTCAATTAAAGTATGCTTGAAAACATTTGTTATTAGATTTTTACTTTTTAAGTTAAAATGTTATCTATAATATGCCTTTTATGTTGTTTGAACTTTACTAGTCTTTATAAAATTTGTATGAAATCTATTTTTGTTTTGTCTTATTGATCTTAGCTTGAAGTTTTAAACTTATCACCTTAAGAACTTATTTTGTTTTCTATTTGAAAATTTTTCTTACGGCTCCATTGTGGTTTCTGTTATTGTAAATTATGATATGCAATTTAAGTGTTATTCGATATGACATCCTTTGAATCATTAATTGTTGTTTAAAACTAATAAAAATATATTCTATTTGTTTACAAACATTATCCACGAATAGTTATTCTCGATGAAATATTATTGACTCTAAAATTCAATTAAAATTATTGTTTGTAAGTTCTTTTATTTGATTATATATTAAAAATATAGATCTGATGATTCGTATATTTGTATAATGTAAAATATTAAAATTTGTGTATTCATATTATGTTTTATATGAAATTTATATATTACAATTCGTGTTGACATGAAAATATAAAATATTTTTTTATTTTATTAAATCTATATATAATTATTACTATAATTTGAAGTCATGTTAATTTTGTATTTTATTTTTGTATTATATCTATATTATATTATCATATCGTATTTTAAATTGATAAATCTATCATAACATCAATGAATTGAGCTTGATATTTTGGACATCACTTGTATAAAATTAAAAGAGATTATTGCATCTTTGTTGTGATTTTGAGAAATGCCTTTTTATATTGATTATTAATGATGCCATCAAGAAACAAAGGAATTTGCACTAGATGTAACCAAAAAAAAAAAAGTGGCACAAGGTACGAATCTTTCTCTTGTATATCATATTAACATTCGAGCAATTAGTTTAGTAATTGGTGTTGGCGTATAACTTTGGTCAAAGAGTTTATTTCTATCAATGAACGTTAGTTCAAACAGTAAAAGAATTTACTTTTTTACTTTTTAGTTGTTTTAATTTGAATTTGTTGAAATTTCATGAATTTGTTAAATTATATATAAATAAATCTAATCAGACAAATTGAAAAGGAGATATATTGAGTTTAGTCCAATTTTTTTTTTTAATTAATATCATAAATGATTTTTAAATTATAATAAAATATTTAATTTAATATTTAAAATTTTAAAAATTTTAATATAATATTTAAATTATAAATTTATTAATTAATATAGTATTAATTAATATATTAAAAATAAATAATATATTAATTAATAAATTTATAATTTAAATATTATATTAAATATTTATTATAATTTAAAAATTACTCGTCATATTAAATTTTTTTTCAAATAAAAGAAAAACGTCACCGCTCAAATTATGCTTGCCAAGCCCATTTTCAAAGTCAAATTTCCAATTCAATTCCCGGAACCAATCTGTCCAGTACCTTGATCATGAACCCATATGGTCCAAGTACTCATGAGTCATGATTGCTTCAAAAATGTAAAGTTTAAGCATTTTTTTTTTCTTACTTTGACATGAAAACTGAAAGGGGTCTAGTCCGGACTGTAAGAATTGTTGTTATTGTTAATGTGGTACTTACGCACTTCCCTTTTCCAAGTTCCCTTCTATCAACATCATCCCACAAATTAGCTCAACACACGGTCAAAATATCCATTTCAAAATTTAAAGCCCCAAGTCATTTTCAAAAAGATACTATTGTTATTCATCCATGTAATTTTTAATTAAACTGGCAGCAGCAGCTTTAGATTTATATCTCCATTCAAAATTAAAAAACCCAACAGATAATTTTTATTTTATTTTATTTTATTTTAAAAAAGATAGAACCAAGGGAAGAGAGACTAGGTCGAACCCTTAAATCATTTTTAAATTTTAATTCACCTGTCAAGTGTGAAATGTCAAAAGCTAATAAAAAAAATACCATTTTCATTATATGAAAGGATCGTATGAAGCTATACCGTATTTCTTCGTCAATACTTAACATATTTACTTGTTAACTAAATTATATCATATAATCATATTAATACAAAATTAATAATTTATTATATAAATAATAAATATTTATTTTAATATATTCATTAATTATTTGATAATCAAAATTTGATTTTTTAATAATATAATTTGTATAAAAAAACAGATTTTAACATTAATTCGTTTGATACAATCTTTTTTTAATCCTTTCTACTTATAAAATAAAGAAAATATTGATTTGTATCCCAAAGAATCATGCAAAATTAAATAATAAAATTAAGAAATTTTAAAACTACACCATATCCCCTCTCTCTCTCTCTCTCTCTCTCTCTCTCTCTCTCTTATTTATTGGCTACACTGCCATTATTTACCAAAAAAATTTTCAAAATCTGCAACCAGCTCACCCTCATTTGTGCTAAACACCATTTTCGAACTGCAAGAAAGGAGAGAGAGAGAGAGAGATACTGAGCCACAAATCATTATAGAAAAGAAGATACGGAGACTGAAAGATCTTTCTTCTTAACCTAAAAAAGGGAAAAAAAAAGAAGTTTCAGCCTTTCATTTGGACTCTTTATAGACAAAAGAGTAGTAGCTATAAAAACCAACCCTTTTGGTTTAGTACACTGAATCCTTGCTCAGTGGAAAAAAAAAAGTTGTACCCTTTGTGTGTGGTTTTGTGCAAAGAAAAATGGCAATCGGATCTTCGTCTTTTGGTTTAATAAAATAAAGGGTATAAAATATTGTTCTAGTATTTGTTTTCATGGGATGTAGCTTTCATTTGTACACAAATCATACACATTGCTCAACAAAGTTGCGGAGAGAAAATCCTTAGAAAAAGTTTGAGACTTTGAGAAAAAGAAACCGGGCGCTTCTTTTGAATTTTGAGAAAGTGAGAGTGGGTTCCTTCTTCTCCGTCTGATTATTATTGCCACTTTTTTTTTTATGATTTTGTCTGTAAGTCTTTGTTTTGCATACTGAGTTTTATTTGAATTTTTTTTTTTTTTTGTGATAAATCATGTTATCTGTATCTTTCTGTGACATTGTTGTCTTGTAATGCAGTTCTTCACGAGGATGTGTCAGATTTACTTTTCAAAAAATATCCAACTTTATCCATATATATTTTTTTGTCTTGTCAGGTTTTTTGACGCTTTTTTTTTTTGTTAATGTTTTTCCTCCAGGCTGTTCTCATCACTTCTCTACTTGCAACCTGTAAAGATCCTAGAGATCTTGCAGACACCCTTTTTTATTTGTTCTCTCAAAAAACTCGATTCCCACCTTGAAAAGAACACTCTCTCTCTGGTAATTCTTGACTATTATCATTACTTTCTCTTTTTGAAAGCTTGGGTATTCGATTCAGTGCTTTGACATTTTCGTTTCTCTCTATAAAGATTTACTGGCGAGCTTCTTGTAAATTCTCTCCTGTTTTGTCACTTTAAATTCCAGGGAAAGTGAGAGAAACAATAAAATGCAGCTTCTCTTGCGGTCCGTTTTCTAATAAACTCTGCTTGTTTTGTTTCTGTTGCTACTACTTTTTCTTCCTTGGTTTCGATCCTGAAGAGATGGGGAAGGCTACAAGTTGGCTGAAGGGGCTATTAGGCATGAAAAAAGAGAAGGACAAAGACCAGATGGAGCATTCATCGAATTCATCAGTTTTATATGACAGGAAAGACAAGAAAGGGTGGAGTTTTGCCAAGTCCGGGGAAGATGTCAATGCAATTTCTCAGATTCCAAAGAGTAATATAAGGCATATTCCGGCCACTGATGCTGCTTGGCTCAGATGCTACGTTGCTGAGACTAAGGAGCAAAACAAGCATGCAATTGCAGTGGCTGCTGCTACAGCAGCTGCAGCTGATGCAGCCGTGGCAGCAGCGCAGGCGGCGGAAGCAGTGGTGAGACTGACCAGCAATGGGAGAGGCACTTTGTTTGGTGGAGGGAGAAAGAGGTGGTGGGCAGCTGTGAAAATTCAAACTGTCTTTAGAGGCTATTTGGTAAGTATCTATTAGATTATGTAATGAAAAATGCCTAACTCTTATGTAATGAAACAGTACGTGTGTTTTCTTTGCTCAATGTAACGGTTCTTGTGCTAGATATGCTTTCCAACTCTTTTTTGACTAAACTCCCAAATTCTTCTCTTTTTCCTGCTTTTGAATTTTATAAAAACCATTGTTTTTGTTGAACTGAGGGGGATCATTTGTTCAACCAGGCGTTGAATTTTTTGTTTTGCCAGTCTGGTTTCTCCAAGCACCACGTTAAAGTTGGTGACTTTTGGGTCCCTTGACAAATTGGTATTATGTTATATGAAAAATAAAATAGAACTATATGTGTTATATACATATTCATATCAAACATTTACATTTAGTTTAATAACTTAAAGATAAAGTAGAGTTATTACACATCAGTTAAATATTAAATTTATATTTTATATTTATAATCAATTAATTTTAAGTTGTATGTTTGATATAGTATTATAATCTGGATTCTATTTCATTGTTCTTACCTGTTACTTCTGTCCAGTTTATCACGTGTAGGCTCATATCTACACCTGCACATGAAAAAGCTTGTTAAAGTGGTGTTATACTATATTCGCTAAATATTGAATTTTATGTTATCTTATATTTAAGTTGAATACTTCTCTTATTATCAATTGATCTTAGATTGAATGTTTAAAGAGTTAGATTTGGTTACTTTTTTCCTGTAAAACCCTTTGTTGAACCTAATTTGGTTCTAATTTCAGGCCCGGAAAGCACTTAGAGCTTTGAAAGGACTGGTTAGGTTGCAAGCTCTTGTTAGAGGCTATCTTGTAAGGAAGAGAGCTAATGCAACTCTGCACACTATGCAAGCTCTTATAAGAGCACAAACAGCTGTTCGATCTCAGCGGATTCATCGCTCCTTCAACAAGGAGAATAGGTACTATCCTGAAAACAGGGCCAGGAAATCCATTGTAAGTATCATTGCCAACAGATTTCCTAGTATGGAATTTCTATTTAATCAGCTTATTTCGTTGATGGCTTTCCCTCTCGTTTTTCAGAAAAGGTTTGATGAACCAAGAAGTGAAATTCACAGCAAAAGACTATCTGCATCGGTTGAAATCAATGCATACGATGACAGCCCAAAAATAGTTGAAATTGATACATTCAAGACCAGATCAAGGTCTCGCCGGTACAATATTGCATTATCTGAATGTGGGGATGACTTGCCTTACCAGACAATGTCATCACCTCTTCCATGTCCAATTCCAGCTCGGTCATCGATACCCAATTGCCAAAACCTTCATGATTTCGAATGGTGCTTCAACGGCGACGACTGTAGGATCTCTACTGCTCAGAGCACTCCTCTTTTTGCCAATACGGCTAGTTCCAATGCTCCTACTACACCGGCGAAGAGTGTGTGCGGAGACAGCTATTTTAGGGCTTATTCAAACTTCCCAAACTATATGGCAAACACACAATCCTTTAAGGCGAAGTTAAGATCTCACAGTGCCCCGAAGCAAAGACAAGAGCCAGGAGCAAAGAAGAGGCTTTCGCTCATTAAAATAATGGCTACAAGGAACAGCATAAGTGGAGTTAGAATGAACAAGTCAAGTTTTCCCACTTTGTTATGAGAAAGCCATAGGATAGAACAGAGTGCTTTTGTAAATTCTTTCTCAGAGGTTTTCTTTTCAATCATGGCTTTGCCAATGAAATGAATCTTTCCATTTTTATATTTTTAAGAGTAACAACTTTTTTCCATCTTGGACAAAGTGCTTAAACAAACTTCATAGGTGTGAACTTGGTCCAAAATGTCAAAATCTGGTTAGCCATGTTCAACTGGAAGTGGACAAAAATGAGAAGTTGGTTCAAAAAACTGTGGGAATTAAGGACTAAATGATAATAGTATGAAAAAAAAATTTTGAAATGTGCTATTATTGAAAGATATGAAGCTTCCTTGATGGTACTAAATTTGGCATTCACAGTTGGATTCAAGGGAGGTCAGTTGAGTTAGGTGGTGCACTGGCACTGCTATCATATGAGCAGGACATTTTGTTTAAAGCTCTGCTCAATGTGACAAAGAAAGATAAGATTGGTCAAGCCTTGGCTGCATGTGCCTCAATATTGGCATACTATTGGCTAAACCTTGAGAAATAACCTCATTTATAGTTGAAAGTACAAGCTATATATGTGATATGTTTCATTTGAATTATTCTTATGTAATATCTTTCTGAAAGTTTTGCTAACCATTACTCCTTAAGTGTAGCTTATGGTAATATTTAAGCAGCATTACATATAATAGTCGACACTTAATGATTTTCAATGCATTATAATTTATAGTTAATATAATATTTTATAAAATAACTATAAATATGTTTTTAAAATATTCGTTGGCAAAATTTTATTTTTGAATTTTTTTTTTCATTTTTGAAAATGTTTTTCTTCATGTCAAAAATGTTTGAAAATGTGCATTTAGTGTAGTTCAACCTATCTCTTTGCTTGACATAATGAAATGTCCAACAATTGACAGAGAACCTGCCAGAAATTATATCACTTTTTTATCTAACAGTTTTTTTTTTTTTTTTTATAGATGATATTGTTCAGAAGTACTTTAGACTCTGTATGATTTTTTTTATTTAAAAAAAAATTCATATAAATAGGATGAATTCAAATTTTAATTTTTGAAATGCTTCTCACAAAATTCAAAATTTTATTAAAAAAAACCCATCATCTTATTAAATAGACTAATCCTGATTAATTTCTCAAATTAAAATTGTTGGAAAAATTTAAATTGAATTCATATAATTAGCAAATGCCCCGAGTCACGAATACAAGTACAAATGACCAAAAGCGCCAATAGAAGAAAAGACGTTGCTAATCACAATATTAAATAACAATATTATTAAAGCTTAGTTAGCAAGTATGTCTCTTCTGATCCAACAAACACTGAAAAATTTTCAGTTGTTTTCAGAATTGTTTTATTAGAAGCTATTTGTACGAGGAACATGTGGGTCCAATGTATTTGGTTAAATTGCTATGCTTTCGTCATCTTAATCTCTTTTCGAAAAAAATAAAGAATGTTCAATTTCTTTGAAATAAATAATTTTTTAAATGCATTAAATTAATACAAATCTTGATTAACCACTGTTTAGTTGTTTGAAAACTTTCGATTTTGAAAAAGGGTTTTGGGTGATTAGTTTAATACATAAATTGAAAGTTGTCTTGTCGATTTTTTTTTGGGGCATTAAATTCGTACGAATTCTTATCCATGTGGGATTTTTCGATGTCGTTATTGGATATTTGGATTTGAAAATTCAAGCAAATGTAACATAAAATTTTTAAAAAAAATTTTTTAACTGTAATTGAAGTTTGAAGTTCGAATCGGTAATTTTCAATTTTAAATTCCATTCTAACAACTCAAAATTAACAGATCATTGGTTAAAAACAAGTGTTTTATTGGCTATCCGGGGCATTTCATCAGAGTTCTAAAGGGGAAAATAACATTGGCGGATGGGCAGTTGTTATAATTGGAACAAGAGAGCAGTTCTTAATTGGATCTTGAATTCAAGTGTTTCACTTTATACAAAAGAGTGCAAGTATGCAGAAAAGATTGTATAATTTATCGTATGGAGGTTCCCCCCTCCCCCCTTTTCAATTAAGAAAAATTCTCAAATTAAAACCTCAAAAAAAGGATCAGTGGAATATATAAGATGTAAACAACCAGTGAATATAGTATAATTTAAGGTTTAATAAAGAGATTTCGTACATATTGAAGTTGAACGAGGCTTTCGTTCCGTAAAAGAAAAATAAAAGAGTTTTTAGTTTGTTTTGTGAAAAATAATTTTTATATTTATTTTATAAAAAATAATTTATTGATTAATAAAAAAATTAAATTATTTTTATGAAAATTTTAGCCCTTTTTGAATGGGATAAGATAATTTTAAAATTTTTTTATGGATAAAATTACTTAGCCAGGTCATGAGTAAAATTATACTGAAGCCAACAAGATTTTTTAAGTTCAAGCTTAAGTTGATCATATTTGAAATATTATTATATTAACAAAAATATTTTTATGTAATTTTATTTAAATTTTTTAAATATTAATATTAAAAGTTTTCAAATATTTTAATTTTAAATATTTTTATAGTCTTACTCAAGTTAGATCTTAGACATAATATTTTACATTCAAACTTGATTTGATCACTCAAAATATTACTATTTAATAAAAATATTTTTATATAACTTTAACTAAAAATTTTAATATATTAAAATTAAAAGTCTTTTGATATTTTAATTTGATATATTATTAAATATAAATATTTTTAATATTTTAATAATAAATAATATTATCATAATGTACAAATTCGAAAACTAAATTGTTAGATACAAATTAAAGAGTTGCTACAAAAATTTTTTTTTAAGTGTGACTAGTTACCTAACTAAATTTGTTTCATTTTAAAATGATGTCTTAAGCTTAACTCATTCTTTAAAAGATTAAATTCTAAACTTTGAAACCAAGCTAATCTAGAAGTACAATTATGTGCAAATATGATTACAATACCCTCATAACGTCCAAAGAATCAATTGACTTTATATTATCCACAATCTAAAAATAATAAAATAATTTTTTCAATATTTTAATGTTAAAAATTATTCTTAAATTACTTTAAAAAATGAAAAAATCTTCTTAAGTATTTAAAAATAGGAAATTGTTCTTAAATTATTTTAATAGCTTTGTAACAATTTATAAATATTTTTTTATCTCAAAAGTATTTAAAGAGACTATTGTAATTTTTTAAGAGGCTTCATCTTTGAATTTGTTAGATATTTTTAAAGAATTTATTCTTTTGAAATCAATAAAATTTTTTAATAATTTAGTAAAATTTTATTTTTTAAATAAGATCCTCCTATAGTTTAATAGATTTAATATTAAAAATTTTCTTTAAACTAAGAAATCTTTTAACAATTTGGTAGAATTTAATTTTAAAATTTTATTTTAAATTCATAAAAATTCTTCAATAATTTGATAAAATTTTTTAATTTTATTTTAAATTCATAAAAAACCTCTATTAGTTTGAAAAAATTTCATTTCTTAAATAAGATATTTTTAATAATTTGATATGATTTCATAAATTTTAAAATTTATTATTATTTTTTAAGTTTATGAAAATCCTTCAATAATTTGATAGGATTTCATAAATTTAATCTCAAAATTTATTTTTTTCTTTTAAAATAACATTTTCAATCAAAAAAAAATAAAAATAAAGAAAATACCAAAATTTGGGTTGGTCAATGGCTCAAAGCTTCGTCAATGGTTCAATTGGCATAGTGTAGCTTAACGCTCGGATTCAGTGGCTTGACGGCTCGAAATCTCGGCTTGGCAGCTTCATGGCTAAGCAGAAGCTGGTTATAATTCAAATTCAAAACGCACGAATATCCTTGTCGCAAAACGACGCGATTTTATGATTGCTATAAATAGCCTATTTTGAAGCTTTTTTCTTTCATCTTTTCATTTAACTTCCTCTCTTTTTTCTTGACCTTCTCTCTAACTTGAAAAATCAAAGTTCGACGACACAAAACCAGGAATTAGTGATCACTTGTAGTTGTCATTATCTACGATACCAATAATTTATGTCGAAATCACTTTAAAAATTCATTAGGAATTCATTTTGGTCTCCACTTTTGTTGAAAGATAAATTACACTTAGAGTCTATGAAAATATATCAAAGAGGTCATACATATACGTTGATCCTAACTTGAACCCAAAAGCTTAAGTTAACGACGTTAGATTCTTTATTCGTGAATCATATTCCAACAATTTCTCTCATTCATTTGTGAGTTTCAATCAAGTCTCATTTTAATTTTTCGTACGAGTAAGTCCTATTAACACCTTTTTTGAGCTAGATAACTTTACATTTTTAGTGCGCTTTTTGTGCCAAGATATAGCACTTAACCCAACTGCCTAGGTGACTCATTCGTGCAAGTAAGTCCTATCAATACCTCATTTAGGTCCACAACCTCACATTTTTAGTGTACTTTTTGGGCTAGGGCATAACACTCAACTTGATTATCTAAGTTGTCTCAGTACCTTTTTAAGTTTGCATTTCAGATTGACTCAACATATCACCCACTTGAATATTCTGCTTCTATATATTATCATAAACTCGCTGTATTTAAATCGAACATTTTAATATCGGTGTTTTTAAAAGTACATGTAGTTGATGGACATGATTAACTTTTGATTTGCCAATAATTTCCCTTTTAGCAATACCATTGGGTTCGATTTTGTCGTAATTTTAGTTCTAATACTACTTGTTGAGAAATAAGTCACACTTAAAGCTCACGTGAGCACACAAAAAAATACATACATGCATGTTTAATACTATTTGAGTTCAAAATTTTAAACTATTAGATTCTTAAATCTTTCATATATATATATATATATATATATATATATATATATATATATAAAAGACACCTCATTTAAATTTTCTAAAATGTAAACCAACGTGTGTGAACCTTATTTTAACAACTTTCACGTGCTCTAGCTGGTTTCTTCGAGAACTCACTGGATTTTCGTAGATATTAGCCCAAAGTCTCGACGATCAAACCTTCAAACCCCCTCTTCTACTGTTCCGATGGCCTTCAAAT